ATTCTTTGAGCGTTATGCGAAGTTGCGATGTTTTCAGAGGCGATCATGACAAGTTTTTAAGTCAGGACTGAAAAAAAAGTGACATCTCTTTAATCCACGTAAAATCTTTTGTCAACTATTTCATTGCAAAATTCTCTGGAATTGAAATTAAATATGCGCCTGGACTAAATTGTTAAATAACTGTTCCCGCCTCCGACCTTCCCTTTGGAATCTATGTCAGGAATTATTTATCCGTGGAGCATTGTAAAGTAAAAAGCTTGATTAACACTTCTATATTTAACCAAAAAAAAAAATCCAAGGTTTCCTCCAGACCCCACAAGATGAGATCCATGGATTCCAAGCCATGTTAGATGCCAAAAGATTTTCAGAGTCAAAAACCAAACAACTTTTACAAAATACTGTAATTATCAAGTTCAGTATTTATATTTACCTAGCTTAGTAAAACACAAAGTTAAATAAGGTAAGAATTTAAGCTTAGTACTGGGTTGGCAGATAGGTCTCATCGTTTTACTGTTGAAATTGTTAAATGTAAATTCTATTCTAATAGTTTTGTCTCTTGGACTTCTCGCCTTCTCTTTCGGTTTCTTGCTTCCCTGTCAACTACGAACTTCAAAATTTTAAATGCAAAGTCAATCGCCATCTTCAGTCTTTTTAATCTTGTTCTTTTACTGACCTTTCTTCTCATTAATGCTGTCTTACTTTCTTGCACAATCTGTAACCCCTTTGGTCTTAAAGACATGGGATGAAATGATTTAAAAAAAAAAAAGAACATTGTGTATCGCTTACATTTTTAAAAACTCAGCTTTCAAAATATTATCTCCAAATCCTCCATACACGCTTATATAATCCATAAACCATGCCCAATATATTAAATGTAACATTGATCTGAACTATTCCCAAAGTAGAAACCTGTTAGTCAGGATGCCGTGTTAATTAATTACTCTTCTTAAGATAATGGTTTTAGTTTGCGGTCCCCATCTAAAATTAAGGCTGTAAGTCGCAAGTCAATTCTTTTAGGGCGCGATGTGAACAGCGAACTCTCGAGCAATATTCTATAAGAATAAGATACCTACTGGCATTCATCTGCCTAATATGATAATGGAATATGCAACAAGTGTTGGTCTAGTCTGTGGTTGTGGCATACCTCCAACCTAAATTAAGGGTTGGAAGGAAATTTTCAGAATATTTAAGTTGGGCGATAAATCAACTCATTCTTCTTTCAAACAAAACTTTTATGAGAAAAATGTGTTTGAAATAAGAATTCCTGGTTAGATTTGTTATTATTAAAGAAGTGATTGAAATATGAATGCCTCGGGTGGGTTTGTTATTTTTAAAGAGGTGACTGAAATAAGAATACCCCGGGTGGATTTCTTATTGTCAAAGTCGTGACTGGAATAAGCATATTACAGGTGGATTTGTTATTATCAAAGAGGTGTTTGAGCTAAACTTTTTGAATATGAGCTTACTACAAGTTTGGCTGCAAGGTTTCATCATATTGCAGTTTAAATGTTTAGAGATAAACGTAAGTTCTATGTTAACATTTTATTCTCTCGAACTTCTCGTTAGTGGAAATCTCTTCCGGCTTCTTGCTTTCCAGTCAAATTTGATCTTCAAATAATCAAATGCATTGTCAATTGTTATACTCTGTCTCCTTATTTCCTGTTCTTTTATTATTCTATCTCCTTAATAATGTTTTTTTTTTATATCCTCTCACATTCAGTAAACCCCTAGCGTCTGAATGGCTTTATTACCTTTTTGGTGAAGAAAGGGTAAAAAGAAAGATTTTTAAATGTAATACTGGGTTGACAGATAGGTCTCATCATTTTACTGTTGAAATTGTTAAATCTAACGGTAATTTCTGTTCTAATAGTTTCTTCTTTTGGACTTCTCACCTTCTTACCTTCCGGATGGATTTTATTTCATCGAAAATCAATTAGCTTCCTGGCACGTCTGTTTGAAATTTAAAGGTAGAAAAAAATACGCCGGGGATATGAAGTTAGGCGGAAGTCCTGATTTCTGTTATAACTCCTAATCTCTTCATTGTTTTTTTTTTTTTTGCATCATCATCATCATCATCATCATCATCATCATCATCATCATCATCATCATCATCATCATCATCATCATCATCATCATCATCATCGTCTTCGACGCCATTATTTCATCATCATCATCATCATCATCATCATCGCAATTACAAATACTTTCTAATAGGAAGACAAGTAACTATTTAAAAATAATAATAATAATAATAATAATAATAATGAAAATAATTATTATTATTATTATTATTATTGTAACAATCCTAATAAAAATGATAATAAAATAAACGAAGTTGTTTTTGTGTCTGTGTTAAAAACCGCTGTACTTTTAACGAAGAAAACACATTCTATGTCCTTGAATAAGCGGCAGGTGCGCTTATTTAGAAAGTGGATTTGTAAGGGTGGGGGCGTTCATTCGAGGCTGTCGCTTACTGAAAAATCTCTGTCATTATGAAGCAATTGCGACACTGATATTGATTAACTTGCAATGATTTTTTTTTTTTTTTTATCTGGTACCAATTATATAATCAAAGCAATGAATTTTCAAGTAAGAGTGTCAAGGCATATTTTCTTGAGGGATATGAACCATTCAAGATTTATTATAATTCTTAAACATTTGCGAAACATTCTCGTAAAGGGCGTACCAACTGAGAAACGAGACAATAGCTATGAACCGATGACGGAAATATTCGCTGATTTTTTTTTTGTTTTTAATTACTGAACTTTTATAAAGTTATAAGACCATGTAAAATTGATTTTGTAAATAGTGTGAAAAAACGAAAGCTAAATTTTTCATGAAATAAAAATGTTTCCGAAGTCTTTTTTATAACGTTAGATATGATACTCATTGTATTTTATTCATTAAATAGTAAGACCAAATCCAAACCATATATTTTTAATGTGTCCCACCTCTGGAAGGGGACATAAGCATGTCTCAGAAGGAATTGAATGTGGAGGTTGTCATTTGATTGCGCGATTGATTGTTTTTTTACAGCTTATTGTAGGTTATTTAAAGCCGGATCATATTTTTTTGATTGGAAGAAAAATTCTATATTTTTTTGCGATTGATTATTGTCTTAACAAGTTCTTGGAGATAATAATGATTTTCAAAAAGAATTCTTACTATATTAACCCAAAGAGAAGAGATGAATTCATGCCTTTCCCAAATGTATTTGCTCGTAAGTGACAGTAACGAACCCGACTGAAATTCGAACTCGAACTCATTCCGAGCCCTTATCCATTACACCACTCGCACATCCAAGCTTAGAGCATCTGGTATTCCCAAGCAGTTATCCATCTAGGTAGCAACTAGGCTCGACATTGCTTATCTGTGGTCATCGAACGAGAACCCTGTGTTTCAACGTGATATGGCCATAAGTCTTACTTATTTTATATTACAAATACATATTCTTCACTTTTTTTGAAACAAAATACTTTTTGGTGCTTATTATTTTAAGTGGTTGTTCGAGGGGATTATTTATTCGAGGGGAGCGCTTATTAGAGGGGAGCGCTTATTAGAGGGGGCGCTTAATTGAGTAAGTCTTCTTATTTTATGTACAGTGTCCATTCAGGATCAAGACGATCATGAATCTATACGACTCCCTATTCTTTGTACCAATCTTTGATATTTTTTCTACTAGCCCCCCCCCTCGCCAATTTGCTATTTATTTACCCAGGCTTGTTAGACAGCATTGCTTCCATCTGTCACCCTTACTTTCAGTATTTTCCCTGATTTTAAAATTCTCTAAGATTTCTTTCTTCATTTCTTCATTACGTTTTCCAAAGGTTTAAACTATCTTTTTGTTTCAGTTTTCATTAAAACTTTATCGTTGCTCTCATGTTCTAGTCATAGTTTGCGAGCTTTCACTACCATTGATACGAAGAAAGCGATATTACATAGATGTTCAGCTCATTTCTTTGTTTCTAACAAGATTTTCGCTTTTCTTAATACGTTTCTCAGCCTTTAGAAGGAACTTTCGTTGTTCCAGTGAGACTTCAGATTTCAGTGTCTTATTTTCCGTTATCTGTTAAAACACTTCCCATGTTTTAAAATTTTTGTGCTTGCTTCATTTCCCCATCACCATTTTGCAGATCGCATCTTATATCGTAGTCAAATGCATACTATTTATAAAGAAGATGAAAATATACTAAAAAAATTAGTAAATACTAATATATCTACAACAGATCCTAGCAAAAAAATTAGGTTAATCATATATTACACTAAATCTAGTATATCCAACTTATTTGTTCGCAATTATTCTTCCCCCACCCCGTTAGCGATTTTCAAAAAGCCAACATAGTTTACAAATTCAAGTGCCCTTTGGGAGATTGTATCTCCAATGGATTAAATAATATCTATGTTGGTCACACCACAAACTCGCTTTCACGACTATATTTGAAGGAGGAATGTTTTAGAAGAAATGTTTTAGACAAAACATCATTTAAGAACTTCTGACCCTGAAAAAAATACAGAATTCTTAACTTTTAACTGGGCTTGAACGCAATTTCCGACAACCAGAAAATCTTTAACCATTATTAGTATATTTCTAAGCTTATTTTGGTGAGGTTCAAAGCGAAAATTCGTTGGAATTGTTGTAGAAAAACTGCACCGTGCCAATTTTCAAAGAAGGTAAGATATCTCTGTCTTGTGAATTATCATTCTAATTCCTGACTTGTTACCACAACTCGAACATTGTTCTCTAGCTTCGGTTGAAAATACGCTAGTAACCTAACAAGTCAGTTATTTTGAGTTTTAATGATCAACGCCATCTTTCCTTCTATTCCTGTCCGTATTTATATTCCTGCTTTTGATTGCTCTTCTGTTCTTTAATCGATATTTTTATATTATTCTACTATTCCAGTTCGATATTACGAGAACGATTTCCCGAACATGTCATTGAGAGTGCACGCTGATCTGCTCACGTTCGTATTGGGCACCGTTTAACCTATTATAGATGATCATCCAAATAAATATTGTATATGTCGCCCAGAGATAGCCTCGGAGTCATTGGAAACTGACATGATCACTATTGCATGATCGATGATCAGATGAGGACATCGATTTTGGTAACTGTGAAGAATGCAAAGAATTTGATCGACCAGGAAAGTAGTAAAAGAACGGAAGTAATTAATAAAGAAAAAAGAAAAAGAAAAAAAGGAATGCGTAATAACATGAAGAAAGAAAGAAAGAAAGAGAGGAAAATTGAATGCATGAAACCGGAAGAAAGACAGGAAGAAAGCAAGAAAGGAAAAAAAGAAAAGTAAATGCATGAAAACGAGAGAAAGAAAACGGAAAAGTGAATGTACCAAAATGAAAGAAAGAAAAAAAAAAGAAAGAAAGGAAGAAAGAAAGAAAGAAAAAAGAAAAAGAAAATGTGAATGCATCAAATAAAAGAAAGAAAGAAAGAAAGAAAGAAAGAAAGAAGGAAAAGTGAATGCATGAAAACAGGAGAAAAAGAAAGAAAGATAGAAAGAAATAAAAAGGAAAAGTAAGTGCATGAAAACGAAAAAAAGAAAAAGAAAGAAAGAAAGAAAGAAAGAAAGAAAGAAATGTGAATGCATCAAAAGGGGATAACGAAAGTACGAAAAGGGAAAAGTACATGCATCAAAACTGAGAAAGAAAAAAAGAAAGAAAGAAAAGAAAAGAAAAGAAAAATTAATAATAAGGAAATGTGAATACATTAAAAGAAGATAATGAATGAAAAATGTTAGTGCATGAATAAGAAAGAAAGAAAAGAAAGAAAGAAAGAAAGAAGTGAATACATGATGACGGTGAAGAGAAAGGAAGATGATTGGAATAAAAGAATGAGAAAAAAAGGAAATAAAATCAAGAATCCGTGGAAAAGCCCTGGCTGATACGGTTATAAAGGAAAGGTGAAATAAGTATTTATCCACTCATCTATGTCGCAAAAGAATATAACACGGCGGGGTGTTCGGAAAACCAGAAACGTCTTCTGTGAGATTGTTGCTCAGTTAATGTCTCAATCCTGCCGCTATGCACTGTATGACGTTTACCTGGTTCAATATCACAGCGGACCTGCATCTTTTTTTTTTACAGGAATCAGTGGGCGGTGTTCATACTCACGAAAAAAGGTAGAAGTTCAAATGCTGATTTCAGCGACTTTTTTTTCCATTTCCTTACTGACATAGCCATTTGATCTTTGACCAGAACATTTTTTAAGGAATTCATGTTTTTATTCAAGGTTAATGATGATCATTTTGAGAAACGGCTTGGTAGTGTATCAGTCAGGACGGTTGAATAGATATTGTCTAATTAATTTGGCAACTGGTTACATCATCTGGAATGTTATTGGACCTTCCTGAAGTTATAAAGGTGGAATATAATTCTTGTTTTGTGTGTGTGATTGAACTGATTTGCCATTTCTTTGGGTTTTCTTTCCTTGCAGTCAGAAGTGCTTGATTGTCAATGGAAGTCTGTTATATTTGAGAGTTAGTTTTGGGAACTAGGAAAAAACGGGGTCGATTTTGTCCTCTTTCGTCGGTTTAAAATATGTCTTTAACTCACAAAGAAAGTAATCTTGCTTTATAATTGTCACGAACAATTTTTTAACCTTTCCTCTTCCTGTTCATATTGATTTTGCTGGTTTTATCTGGCTTTCTTTTCTTTAATCGATTCCAATAAACGGTTTCCTGGCATTTTCTGACATTGAAGATATTATTTCCAAAGTGCAAATATTGCTCGTCACATCTGAACTTGATGAACCATTTTTAATGTAACACAGACACATAACCTCAAATGGATCTCGTATGCATTCATTTCTATCGAGTGCATTAATTCAAAGATTATTCGATTTTATGTTAAATATTTCGGAAAAAATTATGTTTGAACCTGTTGTGGTAGGATCCACCTAATTTGCATAGTGGAGTAGCGACCATATAAATATGGTTGGTACCGGGAAGAGAGGGAGGAATCAAGAGATTCAACCAGAGACTCTGCCCGACTGTCTTCCCAGGAATATACAAAAGACTATATGTAAACATTGTGTACACTTTCTTGTTTCAATACATTTTGTTCTAAGTACATTTTGTGTTGCATTATTATTCCATGCATATGTCAAGTTTCAACAAAACCCATCTTAGATAATTAGATAATATTAGCATTCTCGTAACAAAATAAACGACAGGAGTATTTTAATTTTATTTTTTTGAGAAATATCACTTGTTTCAAGACAAGGTAATATTTTCGGTTTATTGGTTATCCGATTATGCTAATATTTTCTTTTTAGTCAAATTGACAAGAAACTAGCCATAAACAAAGTAACTGTTTTGTTTCTAAGAAAAGTCACTGTTATACATCCAAAGAACAAAGCTTTCTTTATTAGGTTCACGTTGAGGAACATTACCAAAATTACAACCAAAAATGTGTCTCCTTCTGAACTTTTCCAAGTCCATAAGCGTTTTACGTGTTCTCTAAATCGGATGTTGGCTACTACTAGGTCGTTTGCCTTATACCATTGGACCTATGTTTCTCTACGTTTATTACAGATTCCTGCTTCGAATTTCACTATCTCGCTTATTCCCTACCTTCACTTTCAGGTCACCCACGACAATGTTAATTTCCTGCGATTTGCATTGCGTCTTGATATTGTCCAGTTTCTTTTACGTGCTTTTTGCTATTGGTGCATATACAGCTACAATGGACATTTTAAACGGCACCCTTTTCAGTTAAACAAAAGTAATTCTATCAGATAATTGATACTATACCAGAATACATTTCTTCATGTCTTATTTAATATAAATTAATTCCAGTTTAATTTTTTCTATTGCATAATATAAGTATTTACTTAATTGAATTCAATTATAATTGTTTATTTTAGGTAATATAAATAATAATTTCTTTCACTTAATATAACTATATGCAATTCTACGTAAGGAACTTCGAAATGAATGCCTCATATTTTATATTAGCCAACGAAATGGATATCGTATAGTAGTGGTAAGATACTTCCACTATTATTTTCTTGGCTTGTTGCAGATAGCAGCTCAATGGCAATCTGGAAAAATATTATCTGTCATGAAATAATGTACGAAACAGAATTGCACAGATGAATTGCTTCACTCAGAAAACATTTTCCCCATTTACTTACATCGAGACGAGCTGAAAGTTTATGGATATACAACGGCTGATGGGAGCACACTTAAGCGGTGATTAGTACATTTCAACATTGATGACATGCGGCATTCCACGTTCTGGGTGGCCATTCATATCTTTCAAGCCATGTGTTCTTTGAAAATGCAGAGACAATGCTGCTAAATATATGGAAAATAATGTTTTTTAATTGAAAACATACTCTATGCAATACCGGTATTATCTGTATATATTTTAGTTTCCAAGGCAATCAAGAGAAGCCAATACATTCAAAGCATACCTCATTCACATTAGGTATTTACTAGATTCAGCCCGTATGTTTCAAATAAATTGCATCGGGTAAAGTTGCTAGCTGATCATTTACCATGTGATGTTACTTATATCGGGAAATAAAATATGTCTCCCTAAATCGTACTTATTACGAAACAGAAACCGGGTAATTACTTTTTTATTATTTCTCTTTTTAGATGACATTCTTGGGTAAAATTTACGCTAGATTTACCGACTAACCTTGTCTTCTTAAGCTGAGAAAGATATTTAAATAATAAGGAGATTATAGGAGATTATAAACGACTTGATGTCAGTTGGACACCAGCGACTATCACCTCGACAACAGTCTAGTGGATTAAAGTCATGATTCCTGAATTTGGTAACATAGTAATTGTGAGTTCAGTCCCAGGACCGAGTAGTGCAGACACAGCTGAAACAGAACAAGCAAGGGATCAGTGCTAAATAAGAACTAGACAGAATAATCCTTTACATGATCAGCGAAACAAGAATATTCTACCCACTAGATTAAATAAAGAGTTCTTTGAATATTAACCGGACAAGCACCTGATGAAGGGCAGAATGGTCAAAAGTTTTTGATAATAACAACGAAGATGTAGACAATAGTTCTCTCTTGTTCTTGTAACGGCATTCACCCGAGATGGGTTGAGTCGGCTCCAATATTGGAGTTTCATGGGAACTTGGAATTCACAAGCAGTCCCCAACCCGCATGTATAGCACATGAGATTTGATTATAGTGGTGAAGGTTTCGTGCAGGACCATCCGCACTTTTTGAAGGGCCTATTACAGAGACTTGGTGCACTACGTGCCACAAGGTCCCCAAACGACCCTCCGCAGGTTTTGAATTCAGAGTTGTCCTTCTCCTAGACCAGATGCCATCCAAGGCTATAGAACCCAGTCTGTCCTGCTATTTACCCATAGCTGGATGGAGAAGAAGAGGATTCACACCTTTCCCAGGGGTATTAGCACGTAAGTGAATGTAATGGATTCGACTGGAATTCGAACTCGGCTCTCCGATTCCTCAATACAAGCCGCTATACATTACTCAACCGTACGTCCTAATGTAGACAATGTAGACAATAGTCGAGTGTGAATAATGATTACGAATTGATATATATCGCCTGAATCTGTATATATAAAGTTGTAGCCTCTGTCTGTCTGTTATCGAACACCTCCTTCGAGATTGATCCCTATATCCATATCTATTCTGAAACTAAATTAACCTGAGTACTTGGATACGTATATTTCAAAGGGGGTCGCCAGGGGTCACCCCAACTGATTTTGTCCCCTTTGATATAAATTAAATTTAAATTTTAAGAAGAGAATAACTCCTAGGGTACTTGGATAAGTATATTTCATTTTGGAAAATGTGTCCCTGGGTGGGGAGGGGCACAACCACTCGCTGATTTTTTCCCTTTGATTTAAATTAGATTTAAATTTGGACAAGGGAATGACTCCTATCCAAAATATAGAAAGAAAAATCCAGAACATGGAGGTCACATGGGCAAGATCAAAATGAGACAATATGGATGTCAAGTTGAACGAGAAATCACCAATGACTGGTAGTGCCTTACAATATATATTTCCTGTGAATTTTAACTGTCATATCAATGTTGAAATCTACTGATCAATTCATTCAATCAAGTATTGCATCTAATGCATATCAAAGGGGTCAGATCAAGCTGTTTTTGAACAAACCCCAGACTGAGAATTTTTCCCTTTCATTTAAATTTTGATATAAATTTAAATTTGAATAAAGGAATGATTCCTATCAAAAATATAGAAGGAGAAAGGCAGAAGATGGAGGTCACATTAACAAGATCATTGAATAATACGGAAATGCATCATTTTTTCCCACAAATTATAACAATGATTTAAATCATCATCATAAATATGATAGGTTAATAGACAAATATGTTACTTTTTCTTTGTTGGGGTATCAATGATCATATTCAGAACCTACTTTGTTCTTTTACCGTACTTCTCATTTCACCAGAACTTTTTTTTTATCTATTCTCAAACGTACCAGTTGTCATTTTGACGCAGGTGTTTGGCAAATAGGCGAATCAGACGGTAGCATTTTGCTGGAAAGAATACAGTGACCTCTTCGTAACACGCCATTGATTCTGTCATCGTGAGAGCCAGCTTTCTCCCGGAACCCTTTCAATTTCCCAGGTGGGATAGTTCCTGCCAGCAACATCTCCGGAAGCACTGAAATGGCTTCCCAATTGGTTCCAGCTTCATTTCCGTTTTACAGCCTATGCAAACAATGTCGACCGTACCTCGCAAGCGTTGACGACTGGAGGCCCACGAACGCACGCGCAAAATGAATGTGCAGGGCATGATGTGATTGGGACTAAACGAACAAATGTGTGAAAACAAACGAAATGGCGCTAAAGTAAACAACAATTCTTTTCAGTAATCAATCGTTTGTTGTGAAAACTCCCGGGAGAAATGAAAATCGCGTTTCTCAATATATTGCGTTTTGAGAGGACGCTTGATTCCTTAAAACTCTTAAATTCGATTCTATACTCTCGTTCTACATCTGTCTCAACCAATTGAGATGTAATTAGTTCGTGAGCTACCTTGATACTAAACACAATAATATCATTCATTCATATATATATATATATATATATATATATATATATATATTAAAAAGAATTACATAATTACTCCTCATCGCTCGATGCAGCTTAAACTTTCATGTAAATATCAACCTGCAAATACACAAATTCTATGCTATATGCATGAAACTTTAAGTATCATCGAGGGATGAGTAGCAAATGTATAATTCTTCTTAATATATATATCTCTATCTATCTATCTATCTATCTATCTATCTATATATATATATATATATATATATATATATATATATATAAAGATGCAACAGAGTCATATTCCTCTTAGAAGTACTTTTTACCGCCTTAGCATTATGTGGGAGATATTTCTGCCGCATATATATATATATATATATATATATATATATATATATATATATATATATATATATATATATGTACAGGAGGTATATGGGAAAGGATTTCTGGGAGGTATCTGGGGGAAGCATTTCAACCTGCATCCATATAGAGGACAGAGGAAGAGAGAGAACAATTATACATTATATAACAATTACACACACACACACACATATATATATATATATATATATATATATATATATATATATATATATATATATATATTAAAAGTTACGGTGGAGTAATGTTTAGTGGCTCTTGGATTGAGGAATCGGTGTGACAAGTTTGAATTACTAGATTTAAAGATTATAGTCATATTGGAAGCATTACAGAGAAGCTGCTCCACGAAGCAGCGGTTTTAAAAAAGTTCAGCAAATTGAAATTCCTCCTTCTTTACGGAATAGAAAGGGAATGGGGACGATTCGTTTCAGTGTACATGATATGTCAGGTTTTAGCTAGAAAATCCGGCCTGGTGGGACTAAGGAATGTAGCCCATCAGAACATTTCACATGGTAGCGCATAGAGAAGCTTGCCACATTTAGTCAGTGGGATAAGTTTTGTAAGGTTAATAATCATTCAGACTGCCGATAATACACTTGTAAACTATATCAAGGCTGGTAAGTGACGTATGCCAAACTCCGGCGTTGATATGGAAGCAGTACTTCATTTTTGTAAAGATAGAGGATAGCAGTAGGATCAGGTACTTACCAAAAGAACCGGCCATTTTTCCAGAAACCTTAGCGTATATATAAGTTCCGCTTTAGGTTCCAATTGAGTTACTGAAATGTCATTTGTTTACGTTAGGCGTTTATACTTAGCAGTTTCATTATAAAAGTTGGACCATAACTAATTTCGTCCAGTATTTTAAATATCCCAAATGTTTTAAGTAATTATTTAGTAAGAAATAGAATATAGTTATGAACAAGTGTTGTTGGTGAGATCTGGTCATATTTGGTGCCGAGACCAGGATGCACCTGCCTCTACCTCTCAACTGTCCTGATCTTTTCAACTGCTAGTTCACCTTACCTTTGTGATCGGTGAATATTTTCCCATAAATTAAATAATTCACTTTTTGCATTATACCCAAAAGTTATATAATATTTAAAATCTATTAGACTTGTTTCTTTCACATAGAGAAATCTGTCCCTTCTTAAAATTAATTTTAGATTGCCAGTCAACCTTCTACACTTCTTCACTAGATATAGTACCATAAAATTAGTTCCTCGCTCAAATGTTGTTAAATTTTGTCCTATGGGCGCCACGGTTGAATCCAGCAAAGTGATGTTTTCATATACGTTAAACCATTCGTTTATAAATCATTTATTTTTAGAGGGCGAATAAGAAAATGTACTTGATCTTTACTTATGCCAGAGAAAGTAGTAAATTACGCATTAATTATAGATGTAAGTTTTTGTATTTTTCCCTAGATAAACGTGGTCCAAATTATAAGAAAATCTCTATCGGCTTCTTGTTTTCCCACAGTCACTTTCTCTGGTTAATAGTGCACAAGTATACTTCTGTCCATTTAATTCGTGAAAAAAAAAAGACACATCAAATTAGATGACATTTTTACATTGACATAATTGCGAGTAGGCAAAATAAAATTAAATATCATATTGCGTCCCAAGCAAGAAGCATTTGTTAATTTGTTGGTGTGCTGAACGCGACTGCTCTTGAGTTTTAGAACTTTTTCATCAGCATCTGTCTATATTTCTGAGATGAGGCATTATGTACACTATTGTCCTCATATTTGTCGCCATATTTATATTTGTGGTCAGCCATTTTTTTCCACTTCCCCTCGTGTTATAGCTTTCTGGTGTTCTTGAAACCTTGCCTTAAGGGGCGACCTGTCTCCCCTTTATATTTCTTTCCGCAGCTGCACGGGATAGTGTACACACATTCTTTAGACATGTTCTCCTCTATGGTGGGTGGGGGGTCTTACTCGGGAGAGATATCTGCGAAGTGGAAAAATCAGGCGTGGCTGACCACATATGAAGAGAAAAGGGAGATAACTGCCCTCTGTGAGATCAGGTTGAGATCATAGACAAAGAACATCATTGGAAAATTCGTAAACTTAAGGAATCAGCACATATGCTAGGTCACAAAAATCTCCTGACGCGACGAAGCATAGAAATGAATACAATATGGGAACCAGTAATAACGAGCGTCAGAGAAAAGCGATAACACATATTGCAATATGAGCTCTGGTAAATACTTGAAATGATGACAGCAAAATTGCAATATGAGAACGGGTAAAAAATTGTTGCTGAAGACATTATGTTTATAATACCCAGAAATTCATACACAAATGCCCCCATGGACACATGCCATAGTGGATAAAGGCGTTACTTAGATCCAGTGAGTTCAATACCTGGTTAAAAACTTGGTGGGGGGAATTAACAGGAGATAACTGATAACTGGCATCCATTAGACATGACACGTGGGACTAGAACAGTCTACCTCAGTGAGCGAAATAAAGGGTTCAGTTCGACATTCCAACCACCTGAAGAAGTCCGGAGCGTACAACGGCCGAAACGTTGTAATAAATATGGCGATGAATATGAGGTCAATAATCCGAATAATGTAAATAGTGAACTTTTTCATCATATGTAATTTCTGTTAGAGTAACAGTTATTTATAACTTGAGCCGTTACTGAGCATATTTCTGTACAGCTTAATGGATGCTATTATTATTATTATTATTTGCTGCATTTAGTGGATATCGAGCTACTGTTGGTAGCCTTAGATATCCACCACGTTTCTCAAAGACCTTTATCAAGTAACTAGGCATTCTGTGAAACATAGATTTACTGATAAATTTAAAACTGCCAGTCAAAAGTCAAAATTATCTGTCACAGTTCTTCAAGCTTCATTTTACGACAGGCACAACGTCTATCTTTCCGCAACTTAATATTTTTCTTGAATTCGGTCTTTAAATCTGAGTCTAAGTTCTTAATTATTAGTTGTTCTTTCTCAAACGACTTTCGTATCAAGCGACGTCAATAAGGCAAAACACTTGGTCTCATAAAATCATCCGAGCGTAAATGTTCAATGACGTGGTTCGTTTCAATTTTCGTGATCAATCTTTACGCTTTCCTTTTCGATTACCCACTCCGAATTTTGATTATACCATTTACCTGCACGTTAAAATCCAAATAATTTGGTAAAGTTTCCAATTTAAAGGAGCGGTCCTACTTTACCATGTCTCCATTTTTTGTAAACCTACTGTGTAAGCGTGGGACATTCCGATATTGTTGTCGCTGTTATTATTATTATTATTATTATTATTATTATTAAAAAAAGATTGACGTCACTCTTCCAATATTTTTGAACACTTCCATAAGAGCGCGACTTAAGGAAAGAAAAAGGAAAGAAAATAGCTAAAAGGTCCGGGACAAATTTGTTTTTATTTCTAAAATCAATAAATTCTCAGAGCGAAAAAAATGATTTTCACGATTGCTTCTTAGTAACTATGGATGCATCGTCACTTTTCCCTAACATTAATCGCAATGAAAGAATTGAGGCATGCATCAAATTTTTGGAGAAACGCAAAAATTAAACTATTCCGCCAGTTTCTCTGTAGACTTCCACGGTTTCTTTTTGGAAAGAAACACTTATAAAAGTTTACCAACAAGCCAAGGGAGGTGCAATGGGACCACCCTTCTGACCGTTCATTTTGCGAATGCTTTCATCACAAACATCGAAAAAACAGTACTTGAATCTTTCAAACCAAAGCACGGCTATGAATCAATAACATGGCTGCAATTTCTGGATGATATTTTCTATAACTGAGGAGGTACACAGGAATGTTTGCTAGAATTTCTACAATTTTGTGATTCTTTTGCGCAAAAGAATAAATGTCCGATTAAACACAGAATTTTCATCAAGTTTCTAAAAAAACCGTTGATTTTCACACTGAGGTGAAAATTATCAAACTTTCGTCTAATGACCAAGCTATTTTTCTAGCTTACTTCTTCACGTATGTATCTTCACCGCCATTCTGATCATTCTTATCACACGATAAAATCAAACCCGAAGTTACAATTCTAGCGCATATTACGAATTTCCACGGATATAATACATTATTGGGAGCATGCCAATGATTTCAGTCGACATTACGCCCAACGCGGCTATCACCATCCGTGACTGAAACAATTTACCAATTAAATAGCTAAAAAGAAAGATTGCCATATATTTTAAACCCACATCAAAACACCGAAAAGCACAATCAAGTTTCTAATCAGATCTATTTAGTCATCAAATGTCAATGAAATTGTGCTGGCATTGAGATTATACCGAACGACAGCTATCAAAATATTTCGTAAAAATGTCTGCGTTTTAAGGTTTGTTTGTTTTTTG